ATGAACCGTTTGTTCGGTTGGCATTTTTATCATACACTAAATTAAACCTTCTTTATATACTTTAAAAAAAGAAACAAATATGTATATACTTATTATGTAAAATAAATAAGAAAATAAATAACTATAAAAGGTATAAAGTTACCTGAGTAAGTTACTGCCAAAGTGATCCTGTTTTATCCTTACGGATCCGTAAGGATAAAACAGGATCACTTTGGCAGTAACTTACTCAGGTAACTTTATACCTTTTATAGTTTGTACTGTGATCCAGAGACAAAACAACTCTAAATATGAAAATAAATAACTTCTCCCTATTTACTATTGCTATAATATTGCCCCGTTTGATACAAAAAACAACCTATGACTGGAAAAATGGTTTTTCTTTCATAGGCCTACTGGGCTATGATAACAGCCCGCCACCACCGGGCCACGGACATTGGCCTGGGCGATTTGGCACACCCGGGCCTACCGGGCTATGATGACAGCCCGGGCACTGTACCTGAGCCCGGTTTGCGTATCATAGCCCGGGCCTTTTGCGCATGTACAACTCCTGCCTATCCGAAGGAGTTTTTCCCTGGTGCTGGAAAACACCTAGGCTAGTGCTTGTTGAGAAGGGGAAGGGAGACCCAGACCTGCCATCCTTCTACAGATATCTGTGTATGTTGCATACGGCCGGTAAAGTCCTCTAAAAGATGATCTGTTCTGGCTGAATTCAGCCAATGTCACTGCGGGGGACCTGTCCCCTCAACCGTATGGATTCAGGACGGGGTGATCTACAGTTGAGGCAGTTGAGGAGGCAAAGCAAGCCGTGATGAGAGCTGAGGACCATAACCACTACTCTATTAGGGTTGTGCTGCTCTTAACACTCGATGTGAGAAACGCATTTAATTCCGAGAGGTGGTGCGATATGCTGAATGCTCTGGAGAACACCTTCCACGTTCCGGCATACCTCATTCGTATCATAGAGGATTCTTAGCCTGGTAAGCCCGGGTATGCCAAATAGCCCGGGCCAGTGATGGGCTGACATCATAGCCCGGGTAAACCGGGCTCAGGTACAGTGCCCGGGCTGTCATCATAGCCCGGTAGGCCGAGGTGTGCAAATCGCCCAGGCCAATGTCTGTGGCCTGGTGGTGGCGGGCTGATATCATAGATAGCCCAGTAGGTATATGAAAGAAAACCCATTTTTCCAGTCATAGGTTGTTTGTTGTATCAAACGGGGCAATATCATAGCAATAGTAAATAGGGAGAAGTTATTTATTTTCTTATTTATTTGACATAATATGTATATACATATTTGTTTCTTTTTTTTAATAATATAAAGATGGTTTGATTTAGTGTAAGTTTAAAATTAAATGCCAACCAAAGAAACGGTTCATCCTACCGGCATTTTAGTCTTTATGAACTATTGTTTCATAAAATGTAATTTTTGGGGCATCATAGCCCGGATGTGCCAAATCGCCCAGGCCAATGTCTTTAACGTGCTGTAAAACCGGGCACAGGTTCAGTGCCCGGGCTGTCATCATTGCCTGGGAAGCCCGGGTTTGCCATACCTTGTCGTATAGCCTTGCCCATACCTCATTCGTATCATAGAGGTTTCTTAGCCCGGTAAGCCGGGGTATGCCAAATAGCCTGGGAAAACCGGGCTCAGGTACAGTGCCCGGGCTGTCATCATAGCCCGGTAAACCCGGGTTTGCCAAATCGCACAGGCCAATGTCTTTACCCCGGTGGCGACGGGCTGTCGTCATAGCCCGGGCAAACCGGGCTCAGGTACAGTGCCCGGGCTGTCATCATAGCCCGGTAGGCCCGGGTGTGCCAAATCGCCCGGGCTAATGTCTGTGGCCCGGTGGTGGCGGGCTGTCATCATGGCCCGGGCAAACCGGGCTCAGGTACACTGTCCGGGATGTTATCATAGCCCGGTAGGCCCGGGTGTGCCAAATCGCCCAGGCCAATGTCTGTGGCCCGGTGGTGGCGGGCTGTTATCATAGCCCGGATGGCAAGGGTATGCCAAATATCCCGGGCTAATGTCTTTAGCCTGGTGGTGACGGGCTGTCATAATAGCCTGGGTGCAGAAAATCAGCCCGGGCAGCCCAGTTTCTAGAAAACCAGCCCGGGTTGCCCGAGTATTATTCTGCTACTTGGTGCATTTCCAAGCTCTTGGCTCTCTCTTCAACTTACCCTAATTGAAAAAAAGAATTATTCATCATCAGCATACTCAAGGGGGGAATATTGAACTGCCACGAGTTTTATGACCGTCCGGAGCCCACGATCATTAGAACAGACCTTGGCAGCCCTGTTGTAGAAAACCAGCCCATATATGCCCAGCTGTAGAAAATCAGCCCGGGCAGCCCGGGTTTACGAAATCAGCCCGGGTGTAGAAAAACAGCCCGGGCAGCCCAGGTTTACAAAAACAGCCTGGGTTAAGAAAACCAGCCCGGGTTGCCCGGGTTTTACAAAAAATAAGCCCGGGTTTCCCGGGTGTAGAAAATCAGCTCCGGCAGCCCGGGTTTACAAATGAGCCCGGGTGTACAAAATAAGCCCGGGTTGCCCAGGTGTAGAAAATCAGCCCGGGCAGCCTGGGTTTACAAAATCAGCCAGGGTTAAGAAAACCAGCCCAGGTTGCCCTGGTGTAGAAAATCAGCCCGGGTTGCTTGGGTTGAGGTAAACAGGCCCGGGCAGCTCGGGTGTAGAAAATCAGCCCGGGCAGCCCGGGTGTACAGAATAAGCCCGGGTTGCCCGGGTTTTATTCTGCTACTTGGTGCATTTCCAAGCTCTTGGCTCTCTCTTCAATTTATCCTTATTGAAAAAAAGATTTATTTATCATCAGCATACTCAAGGGGGGAATATTGAACCGCCACGAGTTTTATGACCATCCCGAGATACTTGAACAGCCATCATCAGAGCGGACCCGGGCAGCCCTGTTGTAGAAAACCAACCCGAGCAGCCCGGGTTGCCAGGGCTTTACAAATGAGCCCGGGTTAAGAAAACCAGCCCGGGTTGCCCGGGTGTACATAATAAGCCCGGGTTGCCAGGGCTTTACAAATAAGCCCGGGTTAAGAAAACCAGCCCGGGTTGCCCGGGTGTACATAATAAGCCCGGGTTGCCCGGGTGTACATAATAAGCCCGAGTTGCCCGGGTGTACATAATAAGCCCGGGTTGCCCTAGTGTACATAATATGCCCGGGTTGCCCGGGTGTACATAATAAGTCCGGGTTGCCCTAGTGTAAAAAATCAGCACAGGTGTAGAAAATCAGCCCGGGCAGCCCGGGTTTACAAAATCAGCCCGGGTTGCCCGGGTTTAAAAAACTAGCCCGGGTTGCCCGGGTGTAGAAAATCAGCCCGGGCAGACCAGGTGTAGAAAATCAGCCCGAGCAGCCCGGGTGTAGAAAATCAGCCCAAGTTGACAAAATGGGCCCGGGTTAACAAAATCAGCCCGGGTTAAGAAAACCAGCCCAGGTTGCCCGGGTGTAGAAAATCAGCACGGGCAGCTTGGGTTTAAAAAATAAGCCTGAATGCAGAAAATCAGCCCGGGCAGCCCGATTGTAGAAAACCAGCCCAGGTTGCCCGGGTTTTATTCTGCTACCTGGTGCATTTCCAAGCTCTTGGCTCTCTCTTCAATTTACCCTAATTGAAAAAAAAATTTATTCATCATCAGCATACTCAAGGGGGGAATATTTAACCGCCACGATCATTAGAGCGGACCCTGGCAGCCCTGTTGTAGAAAACCAGCCCGGGTTGGCTGGTTGTACAAAATAAGCCCGGGTTAAGAAAACCAGCCCGGGTTGCCCGGGTGTAGAGGATCAGCCCGGGTGCAGAAAATCAGACCGGGCAGCCCGGGTTTACAAAATAAGCCCGAGTTGCCCAGGTTAGAAAAATCAGTCTGGGTGCAGAAAATCAGCCCAGGCAGCCCGGTTGTAGAAAACCAGCCTGGGTGTAGAAAATCAGCCCGGGTGTAGAAAACCAGCCCGGGTTGCCCAGGTTTAGAAAACCAGCCCGGGCAGCCCGGTTGTAGAAAACCAGCCCGGGTAGCCCGGTTGTAGAAAACCAGCCCGGATAGCCCGAGTGTACAAAATAAGCCCGGATTGCTCGAGGGTATAAAATAAGCCCGGGTTGCCCGGGTGTACAAAATAAGTCTGGGTTTCCCGGGTTTTACAAATGAGCCCAGGTCGCCCGGGTGTAAAAAATCAGCCCGGTTGTAGAAAACCAGCCCCGGTTGCTTGGCTGTAGAAAATCAGCCCGGGCAACACGGATGCAGGAAATCAGCCCGGGCAGCACGGTTGTAGAAAACCAGCACGGTTGTAGAAAACCAGCCCGGTTTGCCCGGGTGTACAAAATCAGCCCGGGTTACAAAACCAGCCCGGTTGTAGAAAACCAGCCCGGTTGGCCGGGGTGTAATAAATCAGCCCGGGTCTAGAAAATCAGCCCGGGCAGGGGTAATATATGAAATCACATGTTAAAATACTTTGTTTACAGTTTTTTGTTTATGTTTAGATTTATTTTTTACCTATTTAACACATACAACAGCGCTTCAATATATAAAGTTATTTCTTTTTTTTAAGGTCTAAAAAAGGAATTGCTAATTTTTTTGTTTTTAGGGTAAAAAATGGGAATGAAACACACAACAAAGCAGGCTTCAGCTAGGACAAGACTAGTCAATGACGCTTTACGCAAAATGTCTTAAAACCTACAACATTTGTTTTTAATATAGGTCTATTAAACGTAAAAATTCTTTGTCAATGTTTAAATAGATCAGTTTGTATGGTAAAATCTTTGTTTTTTCTATGATTGTATACTTTTAATCAGTGCTCGGTTTGTAAAAAATTAGAAGCCAGAACTGTAACCTGTTTAATTTGATTTCACTATTTTTGCCAATATTTTTAATCTTTTCGAAAGAGAGGTACCGGAACTCCGGTGCAGACTACGGTTCACCCACAAATCGAGCACTGCTTTTAATATCTACCCTACTATTTGCTATTGTGATTTTTAATTTAATTGTCTTTCAAATAGGAGCCCCAACTGGCTCAAGAATGGACGACAGTCGCCATTGGGTGTTCCATGGTATTTATTTCCCCCCTCTTCTAAGATCGGCTACTGTCAAGAAGTTTATGGTTGGGTATGTAATAATCTAAAAAGACTTTAATAAGGGAAACAGAGTCAATAAGTCTTTTGCTCTAGCTTTTACTGATGGTTAGAGTTACACCTTCATTCCATTTTCTTCTTTATGCTTCAACAGGTAAAAATGATACTGTCACACTGATCAGTCCATCTTAGTATTGTAAATATTGAAACCATAATAATTAATAGCAGAGCACTGGAGTTTCAACTTAACTAAGTTCATTCTAAAAACTAGCAACAAATGTAACATGTAAATTGAATGTCTTGTTCTATCTATAGTTTGGGAGTGAGCTGGCGTAGTGGTTAGAGCGCGGGACTTCAGTCCCTGAGGTCCCGGGTTCGATCCCCGCCAATTCACTAATGGATTTTATCCAAGTGATAATGCCGCAACCCCTAGGTCTAGCCTGAAGTAATGTGAAAAACAATCCCAGGCAATTGTGCCTAGCGTCCTAGGACAAAGAAATAGTCAAAGGCTCTAGTAACTTAACGACTTGCATTTGTTACTTTTCAGATTTGAAATGTTGGCACAAAACCAGAGGGACCTAACTGCAGAACAGGCAGCGGAAATTCTCCGTAAACTTCCTGACAAGCATTACACTCTCGCCTCATCATGACTTTTTGACGGAATCCCTACAAATATGTAGTTGTAAATTAAATCAATTTATTCGTCACAAAAATGATACATAATCAACAGTGAATTTTGTAATCTGCGTTAACACATAGATAGGTACGGTACTGGAGAAATTTGCTTGTGGGACGACTGTGCGCTTGCAGTTGTAGTATGGTGTACCGGAAATATACTTGTAGCAAGGAAGAGCTTGAGCGGCGAGCACTGTGGGGAAATTCCTATCGTACAGGGCACAGGGTCTTCCTCCATCGGGAGTGTTGTAATACAGGATGGCATGGGCTGTTGTGTTGTACTTTGCTCTAGACACCAGCAACCAGTGCTGGACACCACTTAAGTGTACCATTGAATGTTACCTGTACCTTCTCTTAACAAAATGATTATAGTAGAATGTATCTACATATAAAAAATTTGAAAATACTTTGTTTTATATCTAACTTTATCCACTAAAAGAAAATTTAAAAATTCAATTCATGTAGATGAATCGTTCAGTAAGAAGCACATTATTGTAGCAGTTTTTAACTAACTTTTTACTCCAGCAATGTTGGTCTTAGGGACTACAATGTCCACATGTAATTGTTGTAGCTATATACAACTATTTTAAAACATTTTTATTAGCTCGCTTTCTTGTCCGGTACAAATTTTGCAATCAATTTTATACTATAGTTATACTATAACTTCCCTATGAGCTAGAGACTTGAAACTTGAAGCAGCTTTTGAATGGATGACAATGCAATATTATATCATTTAATGAAAATAATTTATAAATAAAAATACTTTTAAAAAATGCCACGTTTTTAAATGCACAAAAAGTAGAAAATAATTTATAAATATGTTGAGAGAATGAATACTTGTAAGATTTAAAACAAAAAACGTGGGGCTTGATCATAATAGTTCAATAGGTGAAGTTAATTGTAAATTAGCATGTGCCACGTTTTTGGTTTTAAATCTTGCAAGTATTTATTCTCTCTACATATTTATAAATTATTTTCTACTTTTTAGTGTGTTTAAAAACGTGACATTTTTTAAAAGTATTTTTATTTATTAATTATTTATAATTAAGGAACAAAGTGCCAAAATATGAGGTTAAGAAGAGTGTAATGACTTACAGTTTTACAAACATGTTAACAGATCATTGTACTGTATGTTACTTGAAAATTTTAGAATCTTTATATATGAAGCATATTTACACTAAAGGTTTAAATGTATTTATTATTTGTTCATATATTTTAGTACTTTTACAAGAGTAGGCCTACACCAGGGCTATTTTGTACTTTTTATTAATATCTGATATATTTCTAATATACACTGATATATGAATATAGCTTTAAAGACCAATAATCTTACAAGGTTTTACCTTTGACTATTGTTTTACCATAGACTAACCAACACAAGTAGACACCATTGTAGGCAATCTCATTGTAAATTTTGAAGCTCGTTTATCGTGACTAGTATGTACATTGGGCGCTAGTGTCGACGACATTTTGTTTCTATTATTTTAGAGTTAATTTCTTGATTTGTGCTTTACTGTTTGGTTATATAACTAGGGGATGAGTTATTGTTTATGATTGATCATATGATTTTGTTAAACAAGGTTTAACATTAAACAAAAAAAGTTTAAACAAGAACAAACATTTTAAACAAACCACAACCTCTGCAGTAGGCCTACACCGTACAGAACTAACAATCAAATCGTCCTTAGCTGTTCAATAAGGATGAGAAATGTACTAAGGGAGATGTTTTATATCTATAGTTTTACCTACTACTTAAATTAATTTGAGTTTTAAGATATTATACTAAACTATGACTATTTTACAAAACAAAAATTAATTAAAGTTTGTGTAAAGTTGTTGATGTTTGATTTCTTATTTTATGTTGTTTTCATTTAACAAATAATTATTGTTGTTACAAGTGTTTTATTTTATATTAAAAAAAAAATATGTGGGTAATTTTGTAAATAATGTGTTTATTTTTTTACTTTTTACTTACAATATTTACAACTTACTTGTCATTTTGTTGTTTTTGTGCTTGTTATTGTTTGTACTGTAGTGACTTACAAATTGAATTCAAACTTAATTAAAATTTAATTTTGATTATTCTAAAACAAAATTTTAATTACAGTACTATAGTTGAGTTTCTGAGAACCTGATAATTATTTCTACGTACCGTACTTGTAGGAATACAAAATATTTGCCCTGCTAAATTCATTTTTACAATCAATACAAATAACAAATTTTGTCTAAAATATATCCTGCATTTTGTATGCAATCTTCTTCATATATGTCAAATTCCACATCCTAGATACCTATAACACATCTGTCTTATCTTAACATCTATATCACTAATTGATTTATGTAGGTAATATGCTTTTAAGTAGTATCTTATTTTATGAACTCACTTTTTATTGTATGTCAAGTAGGCCTAGCCTACATCGTTGATTATGTGCCGTGCTAATTATGTGCATGACGTACAAATATTACTCCGTAGCAGATTTTTAGTTACCAAATACCAAATGTGAACTTAAATGTATTTCAAGTCCATTTTTAAAGTTGTTTTATACCAGTAAACCTAATACTTTTATCAGAGAAGTTATAATAAAGGGGGAAAAATAAATTTACTTTTTATGTATGAAGCGGTGTTATTTAATACTCCCAAATCGTGTAACTTTATACGGTAATAAAACTACTAATTTGAAAGAGTGTATACTTACTTAAGCTGTGTTTACACAAGGCCAGTAGAACAGGCAGGTTACCCACCTCCTCTAGTGTATTTCAAGTTACCTACCTGGGGTAAGGTAACCTGCCCGCCAACTAGCTTCCGTCTGAAAAGATCATCATTTTGATTTAAGTTGCCTTTTTTTATTTGGTAGTTGCCTCGTTGTTCTTGATGTTGTTGTTCAGTAGTCACTGATGGTCATTTTGCCTCAATTTATGCATCTTCAGATTATTTGCACTTAAAAGGGGGCATCATACGCCCTATGGTAAAAATATAAAATTAGCAACCTTAATGTCACATTCGCTTATAAACCCCTAGAGCTTAGAGCTATCAACCTAATTTTTTAAGGTTATAATTCATGCTTTAATATAAAACTGGTACCAAAATTATTTACTTTCAATAACATTTTTAAGTCCAAACTTTTTTTAAAATATACCTTTAATTTCACTTTTTTGTGTATAAATGGCAGTAAAATTTTTCTTAGGTAGAGTACTCTATTAAATTTGGTACCACTTCTGTGAAATAACTTTGAATATATTCTTTGAAAATTTCATGGTTATCTCTTATAGTTCCTGAGAAAAAAGGACATATGTATTACAGGGATAAAATTGTTTCTGGGGAAACGGATTTAAAAGTCGAGATTACTATAGTTTACTTATTACTCAAATGTAAGGAAAAACGACCAAGTTCATTCAAAAAATTATTTCTAAGGCTATGGTTTTTTTGAACTATTAATAAGGTGTCATTTTGTTCAGGAAGTAACAGAATATAATACCCCCGCCGCAGCAAACCTGCAGACTAGGCGAATTTCCATTTGACTGATTGGATTTATACTGAAATGTCTACTTAAAAATATAACATTTATTCCCGATTTAAATAGAATTATTTTAACAAGTACTTAGGTTTGCTGCATCAGGGAGGGTAAAACTGTTATTTTGTAAAATGTTAATAGTTAGTAAAAAATAAAAACATTTTCCACATTTGATCAAAATATGTTCATAAACAAGCAAACTACAACAGTTTACTTATTCTCCATAATAATAACATGGGAATTTTAAATTTACAATTTTTTGGAATTTTCTCCGTAACCATTAGGCGCATAATAACGCTTCAATATACTAAATTATTTGTTTTTTTAATCTCTACAAAATGGTTTGGAAAGAAATTGCTAAATTTTATGTTTTTTGGGTCAAAAATGGGAAAAACATATTTTTACCCCATAAAACCCCCCGTAAACCCCCGTTCCCATAGTCCGATCATGCTGGATCGCGAACTCGTTAGAATAAATGTAGGTTTACACGTTTGTACCAAATTTCATCAAAATCGGATCATTTTTGCTCGAGTTATCGTGCTAACGGACACATATATATATATATATATATATATATATATAAATATATAAATATATATGAATTTGAACGGATGGTGTTTTTGGCCTCTAGGGACCTCAAAACGAAAAAAAAAATCGGTCCCGCGTCCAGGTCTTACCATGAGTACTACGGTAAAAAAACATTATAAAGAATTACTTTTTGCGTATGATTCCCCCTTACTAAATGTCACCATGTACAAATTTTTCTGAAGCATTATTTTTTTTATTTACAACGCTGACCAATTAGACTGATGGTGCAGTCTTTTTTGTTTTTTTTCTGGCCCAGTACGCTAGGTTCTACCCAAGATCGTTGTTTCACATTTTTAGGCTAGACCTAAGGGTTAAATCATTATCATTTAAATCAAATCCAGTGGTTATTTGGTGTGATTTGAACCAGGCACTGAAATCCCACAAACGACTGCTCGCCACTGGCGGCGCAGTGCAGCCGTTGTTTATTAAAAATATGAATAGATTTTGCAAAGGATAAAAGACGTTTACAAGAAGTTGGGTCTGCCAATGTTTCTTTAAAATTTCTCATCTACTCTTTAATTTATTAATTTATCCTAAGTTTAAACTGAATACAGATATTTAAAAATGTTTAATGTTTAATAGAAGGGAATATTATTGAATTGGTATGGATCATAAGTAAAATACACATATCATTTACTATTAAAGATGAAGTAAACAGGTTAAACAGCAGTTAACATATCAGTTAGATGTTCGTACCATTCAATCAGTGATACGAAGCAGTCAAGGTAAATTACCTGATCTCACGCTCGGGTTTATCAGTCACCTCCCATCAGGTGATTCTACAACTGGAGGATTCCCACATTCTAGATAATAGAGGTTCTCTCGAAAATTAAATTAAGGTTAGTAAGTAACTTAACAGTAGGGGTTTCCTGAAAATGTATTGCATTCAGAATCACTTAGTTCACGTTGCAAAGTGTTGGAGTCACAGTTTTTACAGCATTAGGGATTGTGCAAGATTTTAATAAAAGTCATAAGGGAAGTTTTTACTAAAATCTGATTTTAAATTATATATATCAAGAATCAATTTTCTAGACATATTTATTAATGCTTAGCAAATAAATTATGAATAAAGGGGGGCCTTGCACAAATCGTGCAATTTAATTGTGTTCAAAACTTCCTTCAACCTTCAAGCTAAAACTGAAAATTGAAAATCTCACACTTAAACATATGGTCTGAAATATGATTGTAATGACTCACTTTCTACTCCTTGTTATGAAGAATGCTATTACCTTTCAAAGATCGCTTTGTAGCTGTAAAAGTTAACCTAAATATCAACACATGAAATTCATTCATAAAAAGAGTAGGTGAGTCATTTGAGACCATATTGTTTGAAGTGTGAGATTTCATCCAGCACTTAATGGTCGAGAAAATGTAATTACCTACTTTTACTCGTGTTTTTGTACATATCCTTTTGCTATACTACAAAAACTAATTATTTTTAAATTAAAAATAGTTGGAATATTTCTTTATACGTTAAGAAAATTTAAAAAGAAATAGGATTTTTTCTGGTTAGGTCTTCTGTTAAAAGTTCAAATTTACATTGATATACAATTTTGGTTGTTACAAATTAAACAGTTGAAGAAGCAATAACAAATATTTGTTTGTCTGTGTTGGAAAAATCCAATATTGCAAATTGAACAGTTGAGGAAACAATAACATAACAATAGTTATTCGTGCAACTAGTGAGAAAAGTGAGCAATTGACTCACTCGAGAGAAATCCTTACTCACGTGCCTGCATGTTACGCGCTCACTATTTCGTGCCTTCACGTTGCAAATCTGGAGTGAGACAAAGTAATTAGAGTGAGACAATGTTAACATTGTCTCACTGATGAGCGAATTGGCCACTTTGCTTTCTCAAATCAGTGAGAGAACATGTACATTGTTAGGTAACTGTAGGAAAATGTTTGTTTGTGTTAGAAAAATAAAGAAATATAGTAAATACTAGCTGTTGTACCCGTGCTTTGCAATGGGAAGAGGACACAAAATAGAAACATTTTAATCTTTACATCTGTTGCATATAATAGTTACACATCCGCCAATGCTTTAGAAACAAAATTAAACTTTTATAGCCTTAATAGAAACGTTTAAGTTATACGACTTTTAAATCTGGCAAGTAGTGGATACCACCATTTTGGTTTTGATTAATTTTAAATCTTGTGTAGGCTGATATGAGAAAAACTTACCAAATCTTCGAATAAAACATTTGACATACATGATTTACCTTCATCTTACATATCTATTAATTTTATTTATTTTTTTATTTATTTATTTACAGAATGCCATTACATCATAAAATGACAGGACATTTGTCAATGCATTACAATACTTAAATCTAAATAGTAATAAATCCAAATAAAATAATTTCAACACTTAACCCTCCCAATTTCCACTTAAAAATTCATTTAAAGAATAAAATGTTTTTGTCAATAACCATTCTTTACATTTTTGTTTGAACTTTTTTGGATTTGCAATGTTTTTTAAATGATCAGGAATCAAGTTATACAATTTTGGTCCAATATATTGAGGTGATGCTTCAAATAGTGATAATCTATGGCTAGTGGGCTTAATTAGGTTCTTATGTCTAGTGTTATACCTATAGTTTGTGTGACCCTCCCTGAAAATGGACAAATTGTTGAATACCCAAAACAATGCTTCTAAAATATACAGGTCATAAATAAAAATAAATAAATTGATTATTGACATTTTTAATTTCAATTTTGAAGTAGCAAAAATACTAATTATTAAATTTTAATGAACATTTTGTTAAATTTCACTCTTCTTTATATTAAATCACAAATCCTTCTATGTTCAGTTTCTTCACTCACAATTATCAAAGCATCAAGGGCTAAAAAATGTAATAGCAAATACACAGTATATGTTTCATTGCATCTCTGATTCTACTCTACAAAAATATAAACAAACAACTTAATATACAAACTCGGTTTTTTAATCAGTTCCATTGTCCATTGCCTTTACATTTTCACACTTACCATTAAGTAAACATAGTAACAGATATTTCATTGATTTTAGAAACAAAAAACACTGTGTACTGCTTAGTTTTATGATATTTATTTATTTATTTACAGAATGCCATTACATCATAAAATGACAGGACATTTGTCAATGCATTATAATACTTAAATCTAAATAGTAATAAATCCAAATAAAATAATTTCAACACTTAACCCTCCCAATTTCCACTTAAAAATTCATTTAAAGAATAAAATGTTTTTGTCAATAACCATTCTTTACATTTTTGTTTGAACTTTTTTGGATTTGCGATGTTTTTTAAATGATCAGGAATCAAGTTATACAATTTTGGTCCAATATATTGAGGTGATGCTTCAAATAGTGATAATCTATGGCTAGTGGGCTTAATTAGGTTCTTATGTCTAGTGTTATACCTATGGTTTGTGTGACCCTCCCTGAAAATGGACAAATTGTTGAATACCCAAAATAATGCTTCTAAAATATACAGGTCATAAAATGTCAAAACGCTAAAAGCCTGAAAGATGACTTTGCATGGACTTCTTCGGGGTACTTTAGCTATGATTCTAAGTGCCTTCTTTTGAAGCCTAAAAATCTTCTTACCATGGCAAGAATTTCCCCGGACAAGTATTCCGTATGACATTAAAGATGAAAAATATGAATGATAAACTGTTAATTGAGTTTTAGTATCTGTAACTTGAGAAATTGTTTTGAGAGAAAATATTGCTGAAGAAAGTTTTTTCTGTAGTTTGTCAATGTGAGGAAGCCAGTCAAAATTTTCGTTTATATGAATACCCAAAAAATTGACTGTCTCCTCAGACATTAACTGATGATTTGTAAAAGTGGTCTGTTTTAAACTATTTCTATGATCTGATCGAAAATTAACTACTTGAGTCTTGTCCATGTTCAAGGAGAGCCCATTTACTCTAAACCAGTCACTTAAAGCGGCCAATTCTGTATCTACTGTGTGCTGCAGGGATTCAACATTGGGTCCCTTACATAACATCATTGTGTCATCTGCAAACTGAATGATATCCATCTTTGACACATTTGGTAGGTCATTTACATAAATTAGAAATAGACAGGGGCCCAATATTGATCCCTGAGGCACCCCTACTTCAACTTTTTCCCAACTAGAATTTATAGTATGTCCAAATTTGATAATTTTAGTCCTTTTATATCCATCCCTCAAGTATGTAGAAAACCAATTTAGTTCCCTTGTTTTTTATTCCATATTTTTCAAGTTTGTCTATTAACAAACTGTGAACGCATTCATATTTTCCTTGGTTTAATTTAATCAGTGGTGTGGCAAAACACAAACAATAAATGTATTAAATAAAGTAAATGTTAACTGAAAGCTATGTTAAGATAAAATAAGAGTATTTGGTATTAGCATTTGATAATTAAATATAGTTACATATATACAACAGATTTTAGAAAACAAAAATCAACGTACAATTTAGTTATTGATGATATTCTTTAGTTTAATTTAAGCATAGGTTTAGCAAAACACAATAACTCAATTTACCTAAATATACATATAAAAAACAATGTGATGTGCAAGTTATGTTAAGTTAATATAACACATGTGAAGCAGTTTAGCCTCCAAATTCATATGAAACATCTATACTTTGTAATTTTAATACTGTTTCCATGAAAACATATCAATAACATTATTTTTATAACTTTGACGCATTAAAAAATCCAAAGCAGAGCCGGAGTTGATACAGCAACGGTTATAGAATTTTTTTTCTATAATCATTGACATAATTTTAGAATAAATAATCCATGATATAAGGTTAGATTAAAATAAACGTACCTCATATAGTTATGGAAAATATTATATTTAATTTCTTTGTATCAGCTGTCTGAAATTGTGAAATATGCAGTTTAGCAGTTCTTCTTGTTTACATTTAAATGTCAAAGCAAATGTAAACAAACATTGTTAGTGTTCTCATCACAGCCATGGAGACCAATCAATATTTACTTTTAAAATGTTCACCTCGTAACTTTTAAAGCAAAAGGGGCAAAGCCTACGGTCAGTATCGAAATGTGAATAGTCCTATAATGGTCCTTTGTATGGTAGCTAATTTTTGTATAATTTAAGCCCAGTTGGTTCATTAGTTTTTGTACCTATTAGTAATACACATACAGACAGACACCATTAGATTTTTATATAATAGCTAGTACTAGTATAGATTAGCCTAATATTGTATAGTAAACATTCTTTTTACGTTATAATGATGTATTTTTGTAGTGGATAACATAAAACGAAAACAGGACGTGATTTCATTTCACAGTAATGTAGCGAATATAATGAATGTTTTAATAGTAGACAATAGACCAAATTCTTTATTTATTATTTTCTTCAAGAAATACAGTGTCATGTTCGTTTAGATATCTTGCTTTACAGGTACTTTCTGGTATTCTATCTTTATGTAGTAACACAAGAAAGTTATTAGGCTAGTGAGTGTTTTAATGCGTGAACACAAGAAGGTTTTTGAAACAATTATTAGATTAATACCACTACTAACTCAGAATATTTCGAATAATATTTTTAATATTCTGTTGATTTTAGATCTACCTTACATTACAAAGTTATTTATTCTCAATCAGGTTACAACTATTAATAATAAACAGTACTATCAGCAAACTGAACTGACACATATACTTTCTCCCATTGGCTTGTCAACAACTCTCATCCTATCATAGGCAAGCAGAGGTACTACCTAGTAAGCGAATGAGCTTACTAGCTGAACTACGATATTTTATGGGGAAATCACAAAAGCTAGACACCGTTTTTACAGCATTGGAGGTTGAACAAGATTTTAATAAATCATGAGGGCAATTTTTATGAAAATTCCAAATTTTTCTTTATTATTTTACAAGGTTTAATGGAAAAAATTAAAAAATAGACGCCTGAACATATTACATTTTATTAAAATCAGACGCACATATATCACTTTTAACATCACTTCTTTCAGTTCAGGGGGCATAAAACGTATATTTTCACCTAAAACTTATAAAAATTATACTTTCTCCAAATGTATAGTGCTAAAGCTAAAGGGAGAAAAAGTAAAAACCAATTAGATGATGGGTGAAAAAGGTATGTTATTGAGAAACCTCTTAGTAAACTTACCCTTTAGATCCATACAATTTTTTAATTGAACCTACTGCAATTTTATATTAAGCTAGATCGCTAGATGAAGGGTATTCCAGATGTCTTAAAATGCTATTTGAGCTGAGTAAAACTCGAAGAAGGCAAACAAATGCCAATTGTTGAAAAAAATCCACGCCAGTGCTGCGCCTAGCGGCGGGTGTAGGTACTACTCAGAAGCCTCCATAGTGCACTAGTTTAAACTTGGCTGGGATCCATTTTGAGCGGCGCTCGCCTCACATTTAGCCCGGTGCAAACGACAAACCCAAATTAGAGGGAAATGGGCACGGGATAGCCCCCATAACAAGAGGTACTCACTGAAATATCTTTTGATTTCTGAGTTGTAAATATGAGCCCGTTTGTATATACGGAGATTTACATGCGTTTTTACTATGCTTCTCTTTAATATATCTTCCCAAATGTTTTTACATGAGGTGGACAATTATTTTGTGTTTGTGTAGACTAGTTGACTGTGGTGTTTAGTGAAAATGTTTTCAAGGAAGGGCCTTTCCTGTTCATGACCGGAAGAGGAAATTGTAAGTTTTGGACTTTGCGTTTTCATTGTACTATACATAAATTTTAAATTGCCTATTTTGTTTGTTTTGAGTACCGTACATATTCACTGTACTGGTTTTTATAGCGGTATTTTTGGGTAAAATTAGCCTATTATTTATTTTCTATAATTATAATTTGCCATTTTACCTCTACAATTTCTTTGCTAAGAGATAAGAAGATTGTGAAATGAAATAAAAATATATTTTAAAGTGACAAAGTTGTAACACGTTCAATTAATTGCTAGTAGTTCAAGTTCTGAATCCATACAAAGGTAATGCGTAAAATTGACCGTTTTCCAAACCCCATCGATGCCAGAGAGGAATATCTTCTAAAATATTACGTGTCCGAAATAATAATAACTTTGAAGGTCCTTGTACATCTGCGCGCGCCACTGTTTTTTACACAATTAGATGTGGATCATTTGAAACGCCTATTGTCTTGACTTTGCCGTGATTTTTCTTTCCACGAATTATCTCAATGTTTACGACTTGACTTGCTATTGATCAATAATCAGTATTGAAATTTGTCACAGCATAGTTAGTTGAGCTTAAGAAGATTTAAAATTGATCTAATGAATATTGGATCACCCGTTGAATATTGAATATTATGGTTTCGAATATTAGATTACACAATGGTGCAATATATTAGCATAATAATTTATTGTGATTTGTGAAAGCCAGTTTTCATACAGATAAATTGTGTTGCCGAAAACATAACCTACAATATTTTCGGATACTTTAGTGATTCAATTGAAACTAGTACAGTACCGTGTTTACCACCAAGGATTTTGAATTTAATAATACATATTTATTGAATCTAATTTAATAACCATAGGTTTTTCTTTATTATTAATCGATGTATACCCTGTATATTATATGAATAAAGACATTTTCAATTCAATTCAATTCAATCATGGAAGCTACATGGCTATAAGATAAGTCAAATTCACACTGTATAAACATTTTGTTTTATCAATCATCGAAATGTTTATCTAGTTTTTGGTTTTAGATTATAGGCTAATGCTAATGTTACTAAATTCGTAATGTTATGTGCAAAATAACTCTACACCCCCTTTCTAATATATAACAATAATATACCTGTAAATCTATTATTTTATAAAGATGCGTTTTCTGTATGTGTGTTTGGTGGTCTGGGTACACCAACACTTTACTGCCTGGGTTGAAATAGTACACAAACGTTATAATTTTGACAAACACCTAAGCCTGTTCCTGATTTTAAAATCCCCTTGCGGCCTTAGTCTTGTGCGAAAGGTGCAGTCGCACAGGGCTCGAGGGCGTCATACCACACACTTCGTGCAAAATACAAAATACAAAACTTTTTATTAAGTCCTTGAATTTTACATAAATTATGTCAACAATGAAGAAGAGAAAAAGGAGGCAGTAACTTCAATACTAAATTATATGCATAGAGACTTTTGCTAGTTATTATTGTTGGGATACTGTTTTTTTTTTGTAGTAATTAAGGGGCGCGCTCTAAATGCTTGCACTGTGCCCCCACCTAAGCCCGGCTCTGTCCCCTTGGCCTCTGAAAGATTTGATAAAACCTCAATATCCTTAAATAACCTCAAATTTAACAAAAGTAGGCCTACTGTAAATATTAATTTCTTGGCTTCCATAGCAGCAATACAGTGTCTGTGCTATCTGAGTAGTGTAGTCGTAAATTTTACAGTGTTGGAACTTTCATCATTGACGTAGAAAAAATACGGGTCACCTATATTTTAGCCTAGATTCTTTATAAAAAACGGAACAAGAACGTTTCCACAGCTCCACGCAGCAATAAAAATAAAATAAAACAAGCAAAGTTTAAATTTCCTTAATTGTAAGTAATTTGATAGAATCATTAGTTTTATCCTATCACTGCTTATTGAATTAAACGAGTGTCATTTTACAAAATGAAGTGTAGGTACAGTTGAGAATAGAGAAACAATATACATTAAAGATATGAACACAGAAAAAAATATTGAAACAAATCAAATCAAATTAATCTTTATTCATAATGTGTACAAGAGTAATCATACAACGGAATAGTGTCATTTCCTTATAGCTAACAGGGCTTATAGCGTATAATACAATCGTTGAATCGTTTCTATAATAAATGGTGAGGGTGAAACTGTTTTCTAAAGTAGATTAAGAAGAACCAAATTATGTTTTTGCAAATCAGGGGGAAAGGAAGTGTGTAGTATAATTTATATTAAAATTTAAACAGGAAATTATAACCACCAACAATTAAATTTCAGTGATAAGTCCTACTTATAAGGTGTTAGTTAAAAAGAAGTTCTTCGGGTTCAAAAATGTGTGCCAAAATGAGTAATTACTTTCTGATATATTTTATCTTGCATTCAATTGTTGTTTTGCAAAATATGTCTTTATACTAAATTTATTCTTTCTTTATAATTAAATTTGTGACAAAACTTAATTAAATGAAATATTGTGGGATTGTTTAAAATTTCCAGAAAACATTTCCTTAAACCATGGAATACCTAAAACACACCAAGGTGGTGCCCCTGTCCTAATAATTGATTAATTAATTAAAATACAATTTTATCAATTAAAGTATCTTCTCTCTTCCCTACTTTGGTCTGCTCACATTAGCCTTTAAAATCCACCCTAGAAAAATCAGTGGCCTTTTGATGGTTCGAAACTGGACCAAGTTGTTCCTGATCATTAGACTTTAAATAAATGATCCTAGTTAATGAAACAGCTGATCTTAGTCATTAACAGAGCTACACAGATCATCTCACACGATTCTAAACATCCTTCACTGCTTCACTCATGTTTGGGAATTCGCAACCTAGGTGGCGTCCTATTTAATGATTGATAACTTTTAGTCTCATCAGCTGGTACATTCTTTTGAAACTCTAGTCTTTAAAACTAACTTTATACAGTAACTAGCTGTAACCCGCGGGCTTTGCCCCGTTTAACTTCTTAATTTTCAAGATGATCTCGTTCGCATGGCTCAATCACGTCCTGGTTGAAGTTCGTTCGCTACGCTCACTCACCTTTAGGTTGGAGCTCGTTCGCTACGCTCACTCATCTTTAGGTTGGAGCTCGTTCGCTGCGCTCACTTGCCTTCAGGTTAGCTCGTTCGCTACGCTCACTCGCCTCGAGGTTGAAGTTCGTTCGCTACGCTCACTCACCTTTTGGTTACAAATTAGCTGTTGTCATAAATGTAAAAGAAATAATGGTGCTGCACCCTGTTGGTAATACTTGTAACTTTAATGCTATTGAACATCATTGAACAGAACCAACTTGTTTAATTGAAACAGCTGTTAAGATTCATTAATTCCATTTAAATATAAGTACTCATAAGATTAACATGGGAAACTCCAGAGCCACTGGGGCGGAGCCCGAGAGTCCGATCAGAATAAAAACAACTTAGTTTTCCTATTTAATGCCTAAAGAATCAGTGTACCAAATTTCAGCCTCCTAGGTAAATGAGAAGTGGGAGAATTAGTGATGAGTGAGTGAGTGAGTGAGTCAGTGAGGGCTTTGCCTTTTATATATATAGATAAATAATGAATAATAAATTATTGTTTTAAATTAGAAATTCAATTTTTTATCTTGAATGAAATATGTGATATGGAAAGCAAAAAGGGACCTCATGTCGGCGATGCGAAATTTTAATTACGGTCGATATAAGTAATTAAGGTTGAAAATATAGAAATTTGTTTTTTTATCGATTATTATAACCCATATAGAACAGGACAGGATCGGTTAAAATATCGAATTGAAAACGTAAAAGGTAGAAATAAATCATTTCGTTAGCCTCTGCACGGTCTGAGAAAAGGTACCTCTTGTCGCTCAATGTTATTTCGCCATAATGACAAGAGGTCCCATTTCTAATATTCACTTTATAAACAGACTTTAGGTCCAAACAATACCCCCGCCGCAGCAAACCTGCAGACTAAGCGAATTTCCATTTCCCTGAATGGATTTACACTAAAATGTCTCCTTAAAAATATCACATTTATTCCTTATTTAAATAGAATCAGTTTAAAACATTGGTTTGCTGCAACAAGGAGGGTAAAAGGGTTTTTTATGTAAAATCTTAATAGTTAGTATAGTTAATAGTCACACAAACGAAATGATGAGGTCATTAGTATCGTTGACATAAAAACATTTTCCAAATTTGGGCAAAATATGTTAATAAACAAGCAAACTACAACAGTTTACTTATTCTCCATAAGAATAACATGGGAATTTTAAATTTACAATTTTTTGGAATTTTCTCCGTAACCATTAGGTGCATTATAACGCTTCAATATACTAAATTATTTGTTTTTTTAAGCTCTACAAAATAGTTTAAAAAGAAATTGCAAAATTTTATGTTTTTTGGGTCAAAAATGGGAAAACCCATTTTTACCCCATAAAAGCCCCCATAAACCCCCGTTCCCGTGGTCCGATCATGCTGGTTCGCGAACTCGTTAGAATAAACGTAGGTTTACACGTTTGTACCAAATTTTATCAAAATCGGATCATTTTTGCTTGAGTTATCGCGCTAACGGACACATATATATATACTAGCTGACCCGGCGAACTTCGTATCGCCTAAGTTATAGGTTTCCCCTAAGACAGACCGATGGAAAGAAAGTGCCGTTACGTTTAATTTTCAAGATGATCTCGTTCGCATCGCTCAATCACGTCCTGGTTGAAGGTCGTTCGCTACGCTCACTCACCTTTGGGTTGGAGCTCGTTCGCTACGCTCACTCACCTTTAGGTTGGAGCTCGTTCGCTGCGCTCCCTTGCCTTCAGGTTAGCTCGTTCGCTACGCTCACTCGCCTCCAGGTTGAAGTTCGTTCGCTACGCTCACTCACCTTTTGGTTGCAAATTAGCTGTTGTCATAAATGTAAAAGAAATAATAGTGCTGCACCCTGTTGGTAATCCTTGTAACTTTAATGCTATTGAACATCATAGAACAGAACTTGTTTAATTGAAACAGCTGTTAAGATTCATTAATTCCA